TCATAGTATGCTTGAATGTCCATTTATTATTAGTACCATAGTCTTCAAGGATCCAGATTGAAAGCTTGGACGTATTGCGACCACCAACAGTACATTGACACAAGTGACCCTGATTTTAAAGGAAGGTGAATGTAAAACCAGGACCACGCGTCCAGTTAAGAATTTTCCTCCATGTCTTTTACTCCATATCCACAGCAAGTATATGATGGTAACCATCGCAGAACCCAATATATATAGTGCAGACAACTATTAAGAAACACAATTCCTATTTTTGAAAATGTCAACTAAGCCTTCTCGCCCCATTTAGATTCCTTAAAGATCCATGCTACAGTTTTAGATGAGTAGATGTCCACACCCATGCACTAACCATTCTCCTCCATATATTCAAACACATGGAAGTGCGAGGACGTTATTGGATCGAACCTCAATCGAGCCTCACCAACGGAATAGATTCTAGGCGATAGTTCCTTAAACTTCTAGGTTGCTGGATTGCAGATGACATAGCGGTATCCATCAGCCCCAAGGCACCAGCAAAGGATGAGGCCATTGCAGCAATCTAAGATAGCTACATTGTTCATGGTGAAGGGCAAGAAGGACAAGGGGGGATAAACGCCGAAGATGCTGATGAAGTTTTGTTGGCCATAGAATCCATCGTAGAAGAAGCCGACCATAGTCTAGGGCATCAAATTATAGTTGTCCGAGATGAGGTTGTTCCAAGAGTGATAGATACATTTGCAGCAGAACAAGGAGCGGCGGGGAGGCGGCGGAGGATCTCAACAATGGCATCATCCGTGAGGCTGCCAGTGCGTTTCTCTTGTTGGGGGGCTCCTCCATTTTGTCAGTGCGTGGAGCTTGCTCAGTAATGAGATCACTAAAGAGGAAAATAATCCAACAAAGATCCATAAGTGAAGTCCACAACTCATACCAAAGTGCAACTTTAATAACCATTAACAATTTTCACGGTATGACCTCAAACAAATTTAGAGTAGCACCACATAGATATATATTACTTAAACTAGAGTAGCAGTTAATGGAGCTGCAACCATTACAATTCCACCTAAATCAAGTCTATCCATCACACTTACAATTAGTACATGAGCTTAGAGCTTCTTCCATAGGAGACAGATAAAGATTAAGAGGACGACAATTACAACAGTTTTAAAGGCAGAAGCAATGGGCATGTTTGTTTGCCTTGACAGATAGGTATAATCAAGCAAGCACTTGACAATTAACAGGCCTAGTTGCACATAGGCATTTATAGTAATAAAACTAAACATATGTAGAAAACCAAGACATCAGTAGAAAACCAATCCAGTGCCACCTCCTATTTCTTTTCATCATCATATCATTGGCCAAACCAGATCTCCAACACTAAAATGTTTCTTGTGTACCTCATGTTCAAGCAAGGACTAAAACAGTGAAGCGAACAGAAAAAGGTGAGAAAGGAGACCTGCGGATCGGATCTGTCGCCTCTACCGTGGCACACAATAGACACGGACGCCAATGCCACCGTGCTCCACCGGCAAGCCCCACCGCCTAGCCCCCAAAAGGACGCTGAAGCCACCATAGCACACCGGAGATCCTTCACCGCCACCGCCGCCGCCGCTAGTCTAACGGACACAAATTTATTTCCACTTGAAGGGGAAATATCCAATATAGGTCAACTTGTAGGGCATCCACATAGAGAATATAATACTATAATGACTCCAAAGACATATCAATACAACCAGGCATCTAGCTCAATGGTAAAGACCATGCATTTCTTCCTCTGGTCCCTGGTTCGACTCTCAGGCATTGAGGGTTTTTTGAATTTATTAGACCCCGACGGCACAAAAGGTACAAGTGACACGCAAGCCGTCGGGTCCCATAGGTCGGATGGAGATGGAGAAAGGCCCCACAGGTACACATGACACGCAAGTTGTCGGGTCCCACAGGTCGGATGGAGATGGAGAATGGTCCCATAGGTACACGTGACACGTAAGCCGTTGGGTCCCACAAGTCGGATGTTGAAGGGTCCCGTAGGTACACGTCAGACAGAGAAAGGACCGAGCAGATACTTTTATGATGAACTGCAAGCGTCACGGATGAGTAACTACAGGTCCCACAGGTACACATCGGATGGAGAAGGGTCCCACAGGTACACGTCGTGTGGAGATATGATCGAGCGAAGACTTTTATGATGAATTGCAAGCATCACGGATGAGTAACTGCCACATGTACACGTCGGATGGAGAAAGTATCATGTGGAGATCTATGACGAAGTCGTTCGTTACAGATCGAATATTGTTCATCAGAGATGTGTAATTACTTCAATAACAAAGCCCTGTTCGTCACAATATTAAAGGAGACCGTTACAGATGAGTCGCGCGAGTGATCTGTGACGAAACCCTATGCTCTTCTATGATGTTTTTGTGACGATGCCTGTTTTCGTCATAGATAGGGAGGGTTGAAGGATCGTCACCACTGATCTATGACGAAACGGAAAAAATTCATCATAAAAGCGACCTTCTATGATAGTTTCAGAATAGTCATTAAGATTTTCGTTATAGAAGTGGATATTTCTAGTAGTGACATGTGCCAATCCTCATGATTAGGCTGAGTTGAAGCACTTCCCTGCCATCCAAAATTGATCCCTAGATTTTAGAGGGGGCGGAGCCAAGATTAGCCTCCAAAAATCACCTTGTGGAAAATAAACCGTCTTTAAAATCCGGGTGCTCAGATATGCCGGTTCCTGAAGGATCCGCCAAGCCAGCTTCGCAAGCAAAGCAAGATTGAATAGCTCAATATATATCTTGGAATCTCATTCTCCTAAGGAACTTTGGCATAATCATATCATCCCATGCCACCCAGCATGTCTTCCTCTTTCCCGCCTATGTAACTCTACGTGCAACCTACTTTTAGGACAAATCTAAACCAAAAGTCATACAAAGTATAATATACATACCTGGTGGGGCCCTTTGGCGTGGAGCCGTGGAGGGACTGGAGCGGCCGCCCTGCTCGCCCTGCCCTAGGGCCGAGCCTGATGATATGATATCCGGCATCCACAACCGCAATGCTGAAAAAAATAAAACCGAATGATTTGCCAAGGCCCTCCGCGACCGCTATCCCCAGCTAGGACTAGTTTATGTAGTTCTATAAATAAGAACCGCGCAACTGGTTGAGAGCACGCAGCCAATCCTCTCTTTCTTCCATCTTCTTGTTCTATCTCCCACATGGCTCGCCACCCAGCGACGACAACAACAATGAAGGTCCTCGTCGCCGCCGTCTACTTCATTCTCCTCTTTCTCAATGGTAATACTATGCTTCTAGCTTATTCCATTGTCATCTACATTATTATATATACATACAGATAGGTTCTGAATGAATTTCTATGCATGTAATGCAGTCGTGGAGTCACGAGCAGTGGCGGTCGGCAGCGGTAACATTACGTCGTCCAAGCGGCACCACGAGCGTCACCATTGACTAAAATGCACTTTGATAATTTGTTGATGAAATTGTTTCTAAATATGAAGTTTAAGGACTAAATCGATCACTTCAATAGTTTGAGTAAGAAACTGAGCTCAAAAGAATGGCCATTTTGAAAATGTAGAGATCAAACTGAGCCTTTTGCAACCAAAATGAGTATTCGGCCTTTTAAGTAACGCAAACTAAGCGTAGCTCAGCTAGCTTAGTTGGTTAGGTTCTTTGCGGTGGAACCTGTCCACCCGGATTCAAGTTCCCGACTTGACACGGGTGCTCGTATTTTCCTAAATTTATTCCATATTTTAACAGCGCTATTCTTTCAGTGGTAGGCGACGTGTCCCTCGACAGCGAGGCACATATGGTGACTTCGTCAATCTCAAGATTTGTCGGTCCAACTCAGTTCTTCGGAGGTGCTCATGGGGTAGAGTGTGCATGCATGCGTTCATAGGGGTGAGTGTGCGTTCGTGTATGTGAGCATCACGTCCCAATGTTTGGGTTAAACACTTTAGCCTAGCGAGGCTCCCCCACACACGCAAGTGGTTAGTGAGGGTATTCTTTACCATCCCACAACTCATAAGTGTTTTGAGCACCGACTTACTTGATACTCTTTTGAGAATATGAATGAGGTTTTCGCCTCCATTCACCCACTTATGTGGTGACTTCGTCAATCTCGAGATTTACCGGTCCAACTCAGTTCTTCGGAGATGCTCATAGGGGGAGAGTGTACATGCATGCGTTCATAGAGGTGAGTGTGCATTCGTGTATGTGAGCATCTGCGTTCTAAAAAAATTAAAAAGTAACAAACTCCACTAAAATAGACGCATTTAAGTGTGCTTGAGTGTGCGTCCGTGTATATGGGTCCCAAAAAAAACTTAAAAAGTAACAAGCTCCACTAAAATAATTTCAAACAACGCATCTTAGATCCAAATGCCACCATTTTGGAAGCATTTGTCACATTTTGTATTTGACCCCACAAATTAGTGTCTAATTATGGACAAATTAGGTTCTTTAAAAAGTTTTTATGAAGATCTTTCCGTGATTTGTGCCAAGTTATTTATATGGAACACACGGTGAGGTGACTTCTACGTGAGCATCTACGTCTATAACTAGATAAAAAAATTAAAAAGTAACAAGCTCCACTAAACGCATTTAAATGTGTGAAGTAGCGGTATAACATATTTTTTCTGAAATCAACTAACGAATTTTACGGGTCTAGTCTAGTCCACGCTCTGCGGCCCAGAGTAGGCCCAGAACGTATCTGACTCCTGTAATGAACAGAAAGATTTGAAAAGAACAACAAAACCGTACAACTGGGAGAATATTCGTAATCGCAACCACTCCCGTCGTCGCGCGGTTATTATGATATAATATATCTGCCACCGCAACGCAGAAAAAAAAATAACCGAATGATTTGGGAAGGCCTTCCCCTATCCCTAGCTAGGGGTATAAATAGGAGTAGCGGCAACCCGTTGAGAGCACGCAGCCAAACATCTTCGTCTTCCATCTCCCACATGGCTCACAACCCAGCGACTACAACAATGAAGGTCCTCGCCGCCGCCTGCTTCGTTCTCCTCTTTCTCAATGGTAATGATATTCTAGCTTATTGCATTGTCGTCTACATTATATATACAGACAGATAGATTCTGAATGAATTTCTATGCATGTAATGCAGTCGCGGAGTCGCGAGCAGTGGCCGGCAGCGGCGGTAACGTTACGTCGTCCAAGCGCCACCACGAGCATGGTCACCACGGCGGCGAGCGGCCGACGCACAAGCACATGCTGTTCGTGTTCGGCGACGAGTTCGCGGACGCGGGCAACCTGGCGACGGAAGCGAACCTCGGCGGCTACTCCAAGACGTGGCGCTACCCGTTCGGCATGTCGGACGCGGCGCACGGGCGGAAGCCCACGGGCCGGTTCTCCGACGGGCTGGTGCAGTCGGACTACATGGCCAAGATCATGGGCAAACGCGAGTCCCCGCCCGCCTACAACGGCGACGGCTGGGACGGCGAAGTCGTCGACCCTTCCGGCATCAACTTCGCCGTCGGCGGCGCCGGCGTCCTGCAGGCGCCCCCGGGGGCCGCGCCCGCGGGCGCCCGCGTGGCCACGCTCCACGCGCAGGTCAGGCAGCTCCGCGACCTCGTCAGCGACGGCCTTCTGCAGGACAAGGACTTCGACGAATCGGTGGCGCTCGTCGCCTTCTCCGGCAATGACTACGCACAAGTCGATGCCGACGGCGTAAGAACTTTCATTCTCATCTATCTATGATCTATATATGTATATATATAAATATATTTATGTCATCGATCTGCATGCATGCATATATATGAGTCTGATACTCTGATCTGATATGCAGTTCGACGCGTTGATTCCGACGGTGGTGGACGAGGAGGCGAGCGTGGTGTCGCAGCTGCAGGACATGGGGGTGACCAAGGTGGTGGTGAGCACGCTGCCGCCGTTCGGGTGCTCGCCGTGGCTGGCGAGGGATTCCAACTACACCTCGTGCCTCGACGGCTCCAACGACGGGCCCGCCAAGCACAACGCGGCGCTGCGGGACCGGCTGGACGGCGACGACGACGTGATGGTGCTGGACGTGTACACGGTCATGATGGACATGGTGGCGCCGCCGGCGGAAGGGTCGGAGCTGTCGGCGCGGTTCAAGGAGCGGCTGCAGCCCTGCTGCGAGAGCTACGACGAGGACGGCGCATACTGCGGCGACCCCGACGGCCGGTACTGGCTCTGCGACCGGCCGGAGGACTACTTCTACTGGGACTTCGTCAACCCGACGCAGGCCGGGTGGAGGGCCGTCATGCAGATGCTCCAGGGACCCATCATGGCCTTCCTTGGCATCTCACAGCTCAACCACTTTTGAGTTGAGTTGAGTTGTTAGGATTTGATCTGCATAGAGAATAATGGAATAAACTATAATGGACTAAGACTATAGCTTAGTTAGATTAGGCGTCTAGCTACTAGCTTAGTTTTGGAATAGTTAATAATTCTTCGTCCATGATTGCTTATGCTTATCATAGAATCAGATAGCTATCAGTTTAGGGTTTGGAGTCCATCAGCTGATGCTGCTTTATATTGTACTGTATTTCATTCATCATCTAAATATAATGGAGCATCGGTATATTTCGTTGTGTTGAGTATATATACCTTTGCATTTTTATTTTTATTTTGCACAAACATCATGAAAACGTGACATTAAAAATGTATGCTTCAATATTTTTATACCTTTATCAGGTAGTAAATTGCATTGGACGTCACTTTTTTTTTTTTTTGCATATACGTGCAACGTTTCTTCAAAATTGAAGTATTATTATATTAGTTATTAAACCTCTTAGCTAGATGTGGGTTGTTCATCAAGATCCCAGATGCGCCAACGAGTTCGTTGGGAAATTAAAAACGCTACAACATGCATGTACTAGTTATGACGAACAGTGTAACAAAAAATTACGTGGCAATCATATTTTGTCACATACGTTAGCTATCATGGTATGGTAGTCCATGGTAATCACATTATGGTTTGGAGTCCATCATCAGCTGATGCTAGCAGTTTATTAGGGTTTGGAGTCCACCAGTTGATGATATAGAACTACTGCTCTGCAGCTGGCTATAGAATAACGTATTCTATAGCCACTTTTGAGTTACGATAATTATTATGCTAATTTACATGATTATAGTAACTTCTTACTAAGTGATTTACTATAATGTCATGATAAATATTCTCATGTGTTATAGTAACATAATTATTGTAAATATGTATTGACATTATCATAAATTAGTATATAGAATTATCGTAAATAGAGGTGGCTACAGAATAACTTATTTTATAACTGGCTATTGAATATACTCTCCATATATATATATATATATATATATATATATATATATATATATATATATATATATATATATATATATATATATATATATCATTACGGGGAACGGGAGCTTTGCCGTGACACGGCAAAGCCACTAAAACACTCGGCAAACCCTTTGCCATTCTATCGGCAAACTAACTTTGCCGAGTGTTTTTTGTCGTGCACTCGGCGAAGACTTTGCCGAGTGCCAAAAAAACACTCGGCAAACAATTTTTTAGAAAAAATAAAAAAAATCAAGCCAAGCTACCGTCTTCTCCTACCTCTTGCCACGCCACCACCATGCCGCGCCACCACCACGCCGCACCACCACCACGCCCAGGCCGCCACCAAGACGTGCGCCACCACGCCGCACCACCACCACGCCTAGGCCGCCACCACGCGTGCACCACCACGCCCACCACCACCACGCCGCGCGCCCGCCAGCCGCCACGCCAGCGCCACCACCACCGTGCACCACCACGCCGCACCACCACCACGCCAGGCGCCACCACGCCGCGCCACCCACCATGCCAGCATGACGGATCTAGAGAGGGAGGGCGGGAGGGGGCGCGCCGGATCTCGGGAGAGGGCGGGAGGGGGGCGGCTGCCGGATCCGGGGGAGGAGGATCTGGATCTAGTGAGAGAGGAGGGGAGGGGGGCAAGGAGGAGGGGAGGAGGAGGAAGGGAGGGAGGAGGGGCGAGGAGGAGGGAGGGGAGGAGGCGGCGGTGAGGGAGGAGGAGGAGGGGGCGCTGGGAGGGAGGGAGGGGGAGGCTAAGCTGAGGAGGAGGGGGGCACCAGAGGAGGAGAGGAGGAGGGGGGGCCAGGGAGGAGGAGGGAGGAGGGGAGGAGGAGGGAGGGAGGTCGGGAGAGAAGAAGAAGAAGAAGAAGGGGGAGGGGCGTCGGGAATTAAATATGATTTATTTCTTTGCTGAGTGTCCTATATCTGGGCACTCGGTAAAGTTTTTTTTTCTTCTCCTTCTTTTCCTAGAAAAAAGATTTTATTTCTTTGCTGAGTGTCCTAGATCTGGGCACTCGGCAAAAGAAATTCATTTTTTTTTCTTCTCCTTCTTTCCTAGAAAAAAAGATTTTATTTCTTTACCGAGTGTCCAAGATCTAGGCACTCGGCAAAGTTTTTTTTTTTCTTCTCCTTCTTTCCCAGAAAAAAAGATTTTATTTATTTGTCGAGTGCAAAAAAGAAAACACTCGGCAAACCCCCTCTTTGTCGAGTGTTTTTTTTGACACTCGGCAAACCCCCTCTTTACCGAGTGTTTTTTTGACACTCGGCAAACCTCCTGTTTGCCTAGTGTTTTTTTTGCCGAGTGTTTTTAGCGCAGCATTCGGCAAAAAACTTTTTCGCCGAGTGCCCGAGGAAATACACTCGGCAAACATAAAAACACTCGGTAAATTTGACGTTTCCGGTAGTGTATATGAGGGAATTCCTTGTGAGTCGTTATAAAAGATTGCAATTCCTTGTGAGTCACTGAAAAAGTTCGGTGGACTTCAGCGCCACTGCTCTAATTTTTTGCATAGATGGGCATAAAGGGGTGTTGCCTCTAGAAATGGAGATGGACACCTAAGGTAAAGCCCGCCTGTATTAATTCTCGATTAACAGAGGTGAGCCGCTTAAGAGGCCCACCTTTGTTGATGCATTAATGGAGGCGGACATTAAAAAAATGAGCATACTCAACAATTACAAGTACATATATGGATTCATATATACTGTAAACTAGAAGGATATTGCCCATGTTGCTACATGGATCGCGAATGATTTAGAATGAAATTAGACGATCTATATTTACTTGTATGAAGGGATAAACAATTATTGGATGATATGGTATACTGATGTGGACAAATAGATACATGTTATGGATGATGTGACTTGCTGACATAGAAAGCCTAGATGAATAGATATGTGCCATAATTACATTGGTTAGTGGACTACTGATGTGGATGGTTTGCATGTCGAGATAGAATTCTAATTGGGTTTAGGATTATTAGAAATTAGAATATTAGATTAGATTAGATAGATTTTAGATATTAGTTTATATTAGATTAGATATTAGATATTTTAGATATAGATATAGATATAGATATAGATATAGATATAGATATAGATATAGATATAGATATAGATATAGATATAGATATAGATATAGATACAGATAAAGATAAAGATAAAGATAAAGATAAAGATAAAGATAAAGATAAAGATAAAGATAAAGATAAAGATAAAGATACATATATAGATATAGATATAGATATAGATACAAATACAAATACAAATATAAATAAAGATATAACATAGATATAGAAATATCTAAGTGCTAATTCAATTTATGATGTGTAGCACATGAGCAATAAGTATTCAAAGAAATTAAAGTTGAACCTATCTTGCCACAAAACATAAATATGTAACTATTCAAAGAATATTTTGTTTTAGACATTATCACTGAGCTCAATGTATATGGTCCAATTATGGCAGATGTGAGTTAAACAATAAAACTACTTCTCATGTATTTTGTAGCTGATTTTTACTTTTGTAACATTGAGAAGAATCATAATTATTTTAGAAGTTGAAACTTTGAAAAAAAAGTTTCATAATGTTGCATAACAAAAACAAATTTTGTTGGCACCAAGTAGTCAATGAACTAGTCATAATGAAAACAAGCATGCAAGGTGATGAGTCACCAGTGACATCACAAAACATGTGAAACATAAAAAACATAGTTTGTAGATGGTACATCCAAATTAAATAAATTAAGATCGTATATTATGCTTCTTAGAATAAAAGCTACAAATAGAACCCCACTATCTCAATTATATTTTCTTGGAGAATATTTTTCTAATAATGTTAGAACATTTTCTTACGTAGAGGAATAATATTCCAGGTTCACGGTACAAATGCTCCATGTTTGAAATAAAAATGTTCTAGATACATGAGAAAATAGTTCTAGGTTGAAAAGAGAACGTTCTATTTTTAGTAGAAAGGTGTCATAACTTCGCTAACTTTTCAAGTTGAAGAGAAAATGATTCTAGCTTCGTGAGAGAAAACGTCCCAACTTTAAAAATAAAAAATTACGTTTGATCTTTTTCAGTTTCCTGATAAATATTACTATTACTGTATCATTAATTTATGAATTATAAAATAACAAATGTTCCACTGGTCATTTGCCATGTTCCAAGTAAGAAATAAGAAGACACGAAACTGCAAAAATAATTGCGTGGAAAAAGAAGGGCCCACAAAAACACGGCCCAGGAAAAGAACGGCCCATGAGGGTGACCGCCCACCGCCGCTCACCTCGCCCCGCGTTCTCTCCCTCGGCAACGGCTCGACGACCGCCGCCGCCGCCGCCCTACGCTCCAGCCTCCAGGTGCCCAGGTCTTCGTGGGGCCCTTCGCCGGCGACAAAAACACACCACCACCATGTACGACTGCCCCCTCTCTCCCTTTCTTGGCCTACGATATCCAGCACCAGACCCTAACTATTTGGCTATCTGTATTCGGATTTGATCCAATTACAAATGTGGTGTAGTATTGTATGCCTACTAACCTCGTTTTTTTTTGCAAAAAATTACCGGTTGTACACCCATGCCCTTTACTGGGTCGGCCCCTGCCCCAAGGGTGAGCATGGAGATCACCGACGAGATGCTCAAGAGCATGGAGGTCGGCCTGGCCTGCCGAAACTACGTGAGTAGCCTGTTTTCCTCTTCACTCCAATTCATATGCTTGACCATGGACAACCTAACCTTGTTGCCTCCCAATACGTGGTGAAATTTGGGTTGGATCAAGGAACGTTATATTTTCAGTGGTGAGAAATTTCTGTCATTTGCTAAAAGAGGCATATAAAAACGTCAGTCTTAATGGACGCGTATATAGTTAAATTCCCTGGGTAGAACATAGTACAGCTTAAACGTTGAACAGACAGAACATGCTAAATGTTGCTTCATTTCCCCTGCTCCCAAATAATTATCATCTCAGTCACTCTCTTTCCAGTTCCTCTCAAATTTC